TTTATTCATTCATTTATTATAGAGGTGCACCGAAATAGAAATTTAAAAACCGAAACAATTGTCAGGCCGAAACCGAAAATGTTTTTATTTTAATTTTTTAATATTATTTTTTACTTTACTTTAAGGGGCTTCTAGGAAATATTAGGGGTCTAAACAGACCCCTGATATTTCCCTTATAAAATATAAAAAGAGATTGAGAACACAGAGTCCTCAATCTCTTTTTCTGTATCCCCTATTATCAATGAACAAGAATCCTTTATGAGTGTTCCTGTTCATTGATAACTTGAGAATATTGTATGATTACTATAACCACAATTATGAATGAACAGGAGGGGATATAGATCACTCCCATTCATTCATAATTGAAGATATAGTAACCATACCATGTCCTCAATTATCTACAAACACTCAGCGATCACTGATCGCTGAGTGTATGTAGCCTGCTCTCCTCTATGACACACTGTCACAGGAGGCTGGGTGAGCGGTGCGAGAGGAGAGGCCAGCCTCCTGTGACAGCGCTGTCTCCGCCCCCACACTGCTCTGCCGCACTGTGATAGGCGGGCGAGCGGTGTGGGAGGAGAAACACCGGTCGCTCACAGCGCTCGGCCTGCTGTCACTTTCTCTCCTCCCCGCTGGGACACAGAAGCGCCCAGCGGGGAGGAAAGAAATCACGAATGCGCCGATGTATCAGCAGAAAAATGGCACTTTCAGTATTTAACCAAAAGTGCCATTTTTGGCCGGTATGTTTCGGCAGCCGATATATCGGTGCATCCCTAGTTTTGAATGCACTGAAGTGGAATAAAAAAAAAAAAAAGAAACTGGACCTGCAGCAGCTCTTTTAATGCAGCACACCACAATCCACACCATGTGTTGTGATGCACTGCGGCATGGGGCTGTTGGCGAGTCTGTCCCCATGTTGGGAATGAAACTCTAGTCATGAGTACATACGCGGATTTAAAAAAAAAAAAATTATAACCACTACGCTTTGTAGCTGCTACGGTGCTGAACAGGTATAACATATGTATATTTACATAGCGCCAGACTGGACCAACGTATGTCTACATAAATATTCATACCTGGAGTTCAGCTTTAAAGTAAACCTTTTCATTCCGCAAGCATGTATACATAGTGGTACAGTCATAATCTGCTCCATAAACTGTAAAAATAGACTCCTGCGCTCTCCAAAATGGGGTGGGTAGCTAACTAAACAGGTCTAACAGGTCTATGCAAATGTTGGCTTTTTTATGTAACTGACAGCCTATGTATTTCTGTCAGTACAGGATTCCTTTAACGAGTTAATATTGATCACAGTTGATGTTCCATTCCATCATATGAGGCTGTGAGTGCCTGACTCTAGGAAGCAAAGCTAGAGCTGTGGCATGGGACAGCTCTGTACCATCACTCACATCTTTGTAGCGTCACTTACATGGACCTGCCTGCCCTGGAGCTGCTTCCCAGAATTAGGAAATGGCATCCTCTAGTGCTAGATGGGAACCTCCGCTGTCCCAGTAACAGCTGTTTGACAAATTCAATTTACATTATAAAAACAGAGAACAGGAAACTATTGGATCTGAGCAGACAATACAGTGCATCATTGGTACTGACGAAGGAGGTGTGGCATCGGAAACGTTAACCTCAGGGAGGAAGAGTAGCCGGTGGGCTAAGCTTTTCACGTTTTTATCTATTCATGCCTGTAAAAATTCTACCTTTTTGAGTATGGTTTTACTTGTTTAAATCCACTTTATTAAAACGTTTTTACGCGATGGAGGCGCTCTTTGTATTTTATTTCTTCCAGAGTTGAGGCTTCCCTAGAGCCTGTCTGAGAGCCTGCCCCACCTGCATTTTACTTTGAGATCACTGCAGATATTCTCCGTGTTTGGATACATGCCACTGGCGCTTCTGTCATATACTGTTTAATACAGTGCATCCGTTAAGACATCTATACTCACGGTGGGAGTCTTTTAATAACTTCTTTAAGAACTTGCTCCACGTTTGTTCCGTACTTTGCAGAGATCTAAACATACCAGTAAAGAAAATATTTCCTTTAATTGCAAATAATGTCATGTATGGTCTGCCATGCTTTTATCCAATAAACAAATCTTGTATTTTGCTTATTACAGGGGACCAGACATAGTATACTCATTCTAAGTTCATAGACCACAACTGTATTTTTAGCCAACTTCTATGAAAGAGCTCCATAGATGCTACAAATATGAAACAGTATAAATACTGATTTTGTAGGGACCATGCACTGAAAGCTTATGATGGAATGAAAGCTTGGCTCTCCTGAAATGAAACAACCTCACTTAATTCACCTATCCTATGCTATGTTTTCCTAAATGTTAATCACCTTAAAAAGCTCACTAGAACCCAATGACCCGAGGTAGGGTGAGATTCAACAGCACAAAACCATGAATGGCCAACTGCATAGTTTCCTTCACTCTCTTTACTCCGCTGTGCAAAACCTGCATCTGCTATGTCATGTCATAACTATCCCTTCAAGATCAAAAGTACCCCAACAGACAAAAAAGTCAGCGTGTAAGAGGTTCTCAGGGCTAGAACTGCCCTCAAGACATCAAGGTTAATGTAAAAGATCTGCCGTGGAGCTCTCCCTCTCTACTTTTTGGGACTCTGGCAGTTGGATTAGGCCCTAGACATGCAGCTAATTTCAGCTCGCAGATTTTATGAAAGGAAGGCAGAAGTTACTATTCTTCATGATTATTATTACTGCTACTACAACTATAACTTTTACAGTTATTAACTTTTATCCAAAGCACTGGTCCCTAGTAGTGTACTGTCCATGCTGGCAGCTCTGCTACCGGTCTTGGCATATATTGTCACAGTGGACAATAAAAATGTTGCTATAGGGCCCCATCATTTGTAGTTAAGCCCCTGATTTAACAATTGGAAAGACTTTGTCTTGCCATAAACACTGATGAAGTGCATACTCACCCTGATACAATCACTTGGTGGAATGTCAAACATTTTTTCAATTTGTCTCTCCACTCTCTCTGGATTTGCGTTTTTTAAGTCAATCTTAAAAATAGAAGGAAATATTTTAAAAAATCTATACTATTGAAAACTGTGACTTACTGATGTTATAAATTCAAGCTTTAAATGAATATTGTGAGCTCGCTACCTAAATAAGCAAAGCTACAATCCCATTTTCTATTTAGAATCAGGATATAAGAAAAGGTAACATCGATCAGGTCCTTCTCTAGGTAAGAGAGGCAAGCCCCTTGTTTTAGGGCTGCAACCAATGATTATTTTCATAATCGATTAGTTGGCTGATTGTTTTTTCGATTAATCGGATAAAAAAAATTTAATAAAAATACCATCCTTAAATTTAAAATAAAATACACAAATGCAGTGTTACAAACAAAGTTTACTTTAAAACTGCATGCACACATTTTTGCAATTGCACTGTACTGGAATGCACAGCATCGCGGTACCGTGCGTTCCAGTGTGGCCGATCATACTGTGGGTGGGAGGCGCATTTGGGGTGCCACCTCCCGCAGCAGAATTTGTCAGGCCGAAACCAAAAATGACTTTTTTTCCCACCTTTTATAATTACTTTTTTAATAATTGTACTGTAAGCACATGGCACTTGAATAGCTTCAGCCAGGGAATAACACCTGCCAGTGGCAAGATTCTGCAGACGACTGCTGAATGTGAATACAGCAGGTAGTTGGCTGGGGCAATAGCTAGCATGCTATTGGTCATTTCAAATTGCAATAGCAGGCTGGCTATTCCATCCACCCACTGCCTGCTGTATCCTCCTCCCAAGATGGAGGAGAGAGCTTGGGGACCCAAAAAACTAATCGATGTGAGTAGTTGACAACTATTCTCATTATCGAGTAATTGATTAGTTGGTTGCAGTCCTACCTTGTTCATCACGTTATCGGAGTTTCCCTCTTTATTAAATCTTTTGGTAAAAAATGTAGGAAATAAATATTGCAGAACTTGTAGTAGTATGTACTGATTTTATTTATACAGAACTATGCAAACGTAAATATCTGTTGTGACAGGTGGCAAGATGAGAAGTCTTCACGAAGAGCACATCATTAAAAGGGAACTAAAACCAAAAGTTTTTTGGCTTTAGCCCTCTTGGATCAAAAGGAGTACATTTACTAATGTCCTCCTGTGACTCCAAGTCAGCATCTAGCGGGCTACTCCCTGCTATTTGCTGACAGCGCAGAGCCATGCTGCAGCTGGCAAAGATCCCAACAATACTGTTGGATCCATCCCGCTGCCCGATTGACAGCTGGCTCTGCCTCTCTAGAGCCAAAACTAGCTGTGCCTGCCCCCTCCCCTGCCTGTCCCTCTAATGAGTGCTGGAGGAACAGAAGAGGAGGAATCCCTGCGGGGAGCAGTGACCGACAGTCACAGCTCTCTTCAGGGAGAAGCTATGAGCTGAGTGATGGCATTCTTTTGTAAGAAATCCTATTGGGGCAATCAGCAATAAATGGCTCCTGAAGGTTAGGGAAGCTCCCTTTAAATATCTTGGAGCTGTTCTTGTGCCAAAATGGCCCCTCATTAACTGGGAACATGATGTTAGATATTGCGCTGAATGGTCGGTACTCCCGCTCTCCCCAAGCACTGACAGCTCCGTACTCCCGCTCTCCCCAAGCACTGACAGGTCCGTACTCCCGCTCTCCCCAAGCACTGACAGGTCCGTACTCCCGCTCTCCCCAAGCACTGACAGGTCCGTACTCCCGCTCTCCCCAAGCACTGACAGGTCCGTACTCCCGCTCTCCCCAAGCACTGACAGGTCCGTACTCCCGCTCTCCCCAAGCACTGACAGGTCCGTACTCCCGCTCTCCCCAAGCACTGACAGGTCCGTACTCCCGCTCTCCCCAAGCACTGACAGGTCCGTACTCCCGCTCTCCCCAAGCACTGACAGGTCCGTACTCCCGCTCTCCCCAAGCACTGACAGGTCCGTACTCCCGCTCTCCCCAAGCACTGACAGGTCCGTACTCCCGCTCTCCCCAAGCACTGACAGGTCCGTACTCCCGCTCTCCCCAAGCACTGACAGGTCCGTACTCCCGCTCTCCCCAAGCACTGACAGGTCCGTACTCCCGCTCTCCCCAAGCACTGACAGGTCCGTACTCCCGCTCTCCCCAAGCACTGACAGGTCCGTACTCCCGCTCTCCCCAAGCACTGACAGGTCCGTACTCCCGCTCTCCCCAAGCACTGACAGGTCCGTACTCCCGCTCTCCCCAAGCACTGACAGGTCCGTACTCCCGCTCTCCCCAAGCACTGACAGGTCCGTACTCCCGCTCTCCCCAAGCACTGACAGGTCCGTACTCCCGCTCTCCCCAAGCACTGACAGGTCCGTACTCCCGCTCTCCCCAAGCACTGACAGGTCCGTACTCCCGCTCTCCCCAAGCACTGACAGGTCCGTACTCCCGCTCTCCCCAAGCACTGACAGGTCCGTACTCCCGCTCTCCCCAAGCACTGACAGGTCCGTACTCCCGCTCTCCCCAAGCACTGACAGGTCCGTACTCCCGCTCTCCCCAAGCACTGACAGGTCCGTACTCCCGCTCTCCCCAAGCACTGACAGGTCCGTACTCCCGCTCTCCCCAAGCACTGACAGGTCCGTACTCCCGCTCTCCCCAAGCACTGACAGGTCCGTACTCCCGCTCTCCCCAAGCACTGACAGGTCCGTACTCCCGCTCTCCCCAAGCACTGACAGGTCCGTACTCCCGCTCTCCCCAAGCACTGACAGGTCCGTACTCCCGCTCTCCCCAAGCACTGACAGGTCCGTACTCCCGCTCTCCCCAAGCACTGACAGGTCCGTACTCCCGCTCTCCCCAAGCACTGACAGGTCCGTACTCCCGCTCTCCCCAAGCACTGACAGCTCCGTACTCCCGCTCTCCCCAAGCACTGACAGGTCCGTACTCCCGCTCTCAGCAAGCACTGACAGGTCCGTACTCCTGCTCTACTAAAGTGCTGCCAGGCCATGCTTCCACTCTTTGATCTGTCATCACCGCTGCCATCTCCTGCTGGACTTCTTTCAGCTCGGCGTCTTTTCTCTTCAGTCATTGATGATGTAACTCCCGCACATGCGGACAAGAGTTACAAATACTCCACCACTCGGTTATTAGAGGCCAATTTATAACAGAAAGCGGATATCATAGTTTTGCTAAATATCACAGACTGCATTTAGCAGTTCACAGAATTTTTGAAGGTCCCATTCACACCAAAATCTGAAGGTAATTGTAAGTCAATGGAGGGTCCGTTGAGTTAAGATTGTACCTTACAATTTCCTTCCGATCCGTTGTGCTGTGATCTGTTTATCAACGGATGCTAATGCAAGGGCACCATGGAATGAATGGGTGTGAATGGTGCTAGCTAACCGATGCGTTGCATTACATTGTGCTGAGAAAAAAAAAAAAATGAGTGCATGTTTGACTTTTTTTTTTCAATGCAACATAACACAATGGAACGGAGCGGTGAGAACGTTGAAAAATAATTGCAATGGATCTGGTGTAAATGGGCCTAACAATCCCATTTTGATTGCACTCTGCCAGCTTCAGACTTCAACAACAACATTTTAAAGATGAGTTCCGCAAGTGTTTTGGAACTGGTTCTAACCACTTCTGAAGAATAGAAAGACAAAACTGTGCTGCATGACCCCTGCTCAGCCTAATAATGGCTTCATATACTACTCCGCCAGCAAACTGCAGGAATCCAGACACTGTTTACCGTCTCATCCGCTCCCAGAATGAAGGGTCGGTTCGCTCACAGGTAGGACTTTGTAAGCTCTTTACCTTGTTTATGACGGGGATAATTGAAAGCTGTGCTTCAAAAGCGAGAAAGAAGTTTGCCACAGTCTGTGCTTGAATGCCCTGAAGGTACAAAAAAATAAGATACACCAATATTGAAACATCTAAATGCTTTTCTGCTATAAGCCTAGTAAACTGAAAAATGATTTGCCCTCCAGTGCTTTACATGACTGCTGCGCTGTACTAAATTTAATAGGAAGTCTACGTTTTCTCCCATTGTCACCTTGAAATTAGGTTTTATTTTTGTATTTTATTAGTTGGTCTGAATTCTGCAAAAGATAGAAACGTGTTTTTCTTAGATTCCTCTTTAGTGTACAATAAAGCTGTCCCTGTGGGGTGAAATTGCAGATTGCTCTGCTTTCACGTCATGGCATTCTGCTAGTTATGGGTGTCCGAAACTTTTATTGGGCAAGGCACAAGTAACATCCTAAATTTGTACTTGGCATAATCCTAATTCATTAACGTGGAACTGATCTCAAAAAGTGAAGATCTGCTAGGCATCATCAACAGGTATCATAACTATGCTATACAGGAGAAAACAAAAACGATTGTGTTAATGCTGGTCGGAGACTCCATCATACATGTCATTTTGGAATTTATTAACATGTTAACAAAAAGTGATAAACTACAGTATTGATTGTATTTATAAACAATTGACAGAGCCATACATCTTGCATCTGTGAACTTTCGTTCTGTGTGAATGGGGGCAAAAGCAAATGTTCTTAGTGTACTTTCTTTCCAAGTTGAATGTAATATCTGGAAAATGCCACATTATATGTCCTAGATCAGGGGTGGCAAACACAAGGCCCGCGGGCTGAATCCGGCCCGCCGGACCTTGTAATGTGGCCCGCACAGCAGCCAGGGCCGGTAGCTGAGGAGCACAGGAAATACTCTTTTCAATGCTCATTATCTCCATGCGCATTATCTGCATTTACTGGTCAAGATGCGGTATTTTGCTCATATTACATTTTACTCAAACAAAATATACTAAGTACGTTTGTTTTTGCCTCCATTCAACAGATCAAATGTTCACAGAGTTTCTGCAAATTTTTATACAAACTCCCATAATTGTTTCATTGTCAGATAATCAAGTTATCTCTTAGCCGGACAGTCAGGCAATCAAACATGGCATTGCAGTAATACAGCTACATCCTACTACTTGTAATGCATTCAAGTACTACAGCTGCATCCCTCTACTTCAACTGCAATCCAGTACTACAGCTGCATCCCACTACTTCAACTGCAATCCAGTACTACAGCTGCATCCCACTACTCCTACTTCATTCCAATACTACAGCTGCACCCCACTACTCCTACTTCATTCCAATACTACAGCTGCATCCCACTACTCCTACTTCATTCCAATACTTGCACCCCACTACTTCTACTTCATTCCAATACTACAGCTGCATCCCACTACTTCATTCCAATACTACAGCTGCATCCCACTACTTCTACTTCATTCCAATACTACAGCTGCATCTCACTACTTCTACCTAATTCCAATACTACAGCTGCATCCCACTACTTCATTCCAATACTACAGCTGCATCCTACTACGTCTACCTCATTTCAATACTACAGCTGCATCGCACTACTTCTACTTCATTCCAATACTACAGCTGCATCCTACTACTTCTACTTCATTCCAATACTACAGCTGCATCCTACTACTTCTACTTAATTCCAATACTACAGCTGCACCCCACTACTTCATTCCAATACTACAGCTGCATTCTACTTCATTCCAGTACTACAGCTGCATCCCACTACTTCTACTTCATTCCAATACTACAGCTGCATCCTACTACTACTACAGCTGCATCCCACTACTTCTACTTCATTCCAGTACTACAGCTGCACACCACTACTTCTACTTCATTCCAATACTACAGCTGCACCCCACTACTTCTACTTCATTCCAATACTACAACTGCATCCCATCGGTTACCGAGGAATGTCTGTATATGCCAAAGACTCCAGGAGGCATGAATAGGAGACTGAGCAGAGTGCCCCGTGGCAATATTTGCTGTCCCAACTCTAAGCTACAAATTAGTAGATGGTTGATCTATTCCATCTGGCTCTGAACTGTTACAGCAAAATTACAGTTTTTTCCATAAAAACACACAATATATATATATATATATATATATTTCAAAAGGTCTTGACAGTGGTACATGACTTACCAATGATGGGAAAACACTGCTACAAATTAACTGAAAAAGGCTTGAAACAAGTGACTTTGCAACATGATACTACAGTTCGAAGGATAAAGTTTCGCTGTGGGAGTCAAACTCCAGATCCTGGATTCTCCATTTATTACAATATAGTATCCATTTACTACTATGTAGAATGCAAGGAGCCGACTATTACATTCTAACACAACTGCACTCTACCACTAACTTCTATTACTATTGCTTGACTGCTGTACTACAACTACTACTTTCTGCATCTGCTATATTCTATAACATCTGCTGGATCCATGCCCTACAATGGTACAGCTGTATTCCAAGCAATATTGGCTGCAATGGAAGACTGTTGTAGGATTATAACCAACCAGTTATGATTATACAGGATTTATATAGCGCCAACAGTTAACGCAGCGAACAGTTGTAAAATGTAAGAAATAAAAAAAGTACCTCATTTGCGTCAACCACAAGTAAGACACCTTGACAAGCGGACAAAGACCTAGATACTTCATAGCTAAAATCGACATGGCCCTAAAATAAAAAGAATTTAAAACATTTATATGTAGTTGAAACATGAAGGGCTTGTTCACACCATTTACTGGTCCAGATCTGGAGCAGATCTGCAGACGCAGTGCTATGCGTGCAGTACGTTTTTGACGCATTTAACCGCGTTCCAGTCAGTATGTTAGCTGCAGTACGGTGCGTTTGACGCGTTTATGTGTTTCCGAACCGGAGAAAATGTGACATGCAGTATTTTTTCTGTCCGGACCGGACTGCGCTCGTGAGAACTGTAGCCCATAAAACACATAGGGAGACATTGGGATGCATTTTGGGTGCAGGAGAGCACGGTTCTGGTCCGGACATCGTGTGAACAAGCCCTCAATATAGTTAAACATTTAATTGAAAACTACTTATAAGTATAAAGTGATAATAAGATGCTGAAATGCATATAGGGTACACAATATATCTGCTCAGAGTTCAGTATTTAATACAGATATAAATTGTGTATTCATCCACATTTTTTACTTTCATTAGTGATCTGGGAAACCGTTTCTCTTATGTGTTTGTAAAACAGGATTGCTATTCCCCAACACAACTAGGATCCTTGCTGCTATTAACATACAATAAGATGGATACATCAAAATGAACTGCTGCATCATAGTTACAAATCAAACTCCAACCTGCTTGTATCAGTCTGACTGGTGACATTACACAGCACAACTTGAGAGCACACACATCCACTCTACAAGTAAACAGCTCTCTGGAATCAATCTGCAACATAGCAATTTCTAGCAGCATTCTAGCACCAATATTTCTCCTCTGAACTTTACAGCTCCACCTAATCCCCTAATAAAGACATTATTGTTATTACTAATCATCAGAGCTTATTGTTCAGTTCTGCAGAGAGCTGTCAAGTATGAGGCCGCTTAAAGCCAAAGGAAACAGTAATGCATCATGGGAGCTCAACATACAGTTGTGTGGAAAAGTCTTGGCCCCCTTCCTGATTTTTCATTGTTTTGCACGTTTGTCACACTTTAATGTTTCAGATCATCAAACACATTTAAATATTAGTCAAAGATAACACAAGTAAACACAACATGCAGTTTTTAAAGGAAGGTTTTTATTATTAAGGGAAAACAAAATCCAAACCCATATGACCCTGTGTGAAAAAGTGTTTGCCCCCTAAACCTAATAACCAGGGCCACCCTTAAGGTGGCCATACACTCTACAACCATCGCAAGACTTTAGTCTTGCGATGGTTGTAAAGGGATTAAAAAAACGTACGATCTGCCTATCTTGGACAGGCAGATCGCACTCTCGATCATCGCAAGCCCGCCCTCCTGAGGGGCGGGCTTCCGATGACCGCAATGCTGAACGGGCAGTGTGCGCGTGCGCACACCGGCCCGTTCAGCATTTATCTTCCGAGCACCGTTCTAACCAGCCGAGAATCGTACGATTCCCGGCTGGTTTTCGAACATGCTGGTAGGACCTTAACCCCCTGTGACTAAAAAATACAGCTTTGCATGCTGATATGAAATCATCTTACATTCATTAGCTAAACAAACATATTTGTATTTTACTTACAATTTCTTTTTTTCCATTTCCTGGTCTACCTTGGCACAAATGATGTAATGCACCAAGCATTGCATCCTGGGAAGGTTACATCAGCAGAGCATTGCTGGGAAATCTCATCTGTAATGTCACAAGATCTCAGGGAAAGAGATTTGCTTCCCCTGAGATGATATGCATGGTCACACGTCCTAGTCACATGTGCCAGAGTACCAGGAAGTAAAATATTTTTATTTATTTTTTTACACTTCCTGGTCCGCAGTGTAAAGGTATGTCATTACAAAATATGCTTCTTCAAGTCACACCCACATGTTCAAGAATGCCCAGCAGATGCTGTAGCACAGGGGTGACCGACTCTGGCCCTCCAGCTGTGCTTTATACTGAGGTATACTGAGCCTAGGGTGACGGGAGGACGCTAGTTTGTGTCCTCCCGTTACCCTAAGGAGAACTATGGGGAAAAGCCCTAACCCCATAGTTCTCCTTTAACGATTAGAATGTTGTTTTCGGAACGGTCGTTCGATTTACTAACTGTGTATACCCAGCTTTAGCCTGTCATAGCTGAGCAAGGAAAAATCATCATTACCACAATGCAAAGAGAGCTTTTGCTTGAACTGTGCTGTCAGTTACAAGATGCATTGTATGGGGGGGCAGGAACAGACGCGGTCTATGAAGCCTATCCAGCTATTTCGCGTTTATACGTGCGTTAACAGCATGCGGTTATTTGCACGTTGTGCACATTTGTATGTGCGTTTTGACGCACGTACAAGAAGATGCGCGTTTTGACTGGCAGCTAATAAACCATTGTGGACAATGGAAGAACGCGCGTATAGACGCGCAAAAACGCTCACAAAAGTGTGCAACATGCTTCTGTTGCGTGTTTTTGGCCATTTCCAATTAACTCTATGCATCAAAGAAGCTCCTGTATCTTTTCGGGCGTTTTGCGTTTTTCTGCTCAGGTGTAAACCAGGGCCATTGAAAATCATGGGATTTCTTGTGTTGGGCAGTTAAAAGCGCTTTTCGAACTGCTCAAAAACTCCTAGGTGTGAACCAGGGCTTAAAGAGGAATGGGAACACTGGAACTAATATTCATCTAAAAACCTAAAAACACCACATATAGTAAATAGATATTTTGTCCCAGGGAACATTTGTAGATTCTCTGTAATTACACAATGTTACCAATGAACAATGTTTGATGACGTTTTACTTGAGAAGACTCTACATAGATAAAGTATATATTAGAGTTCCATCAGAAATGCATTCATGTCATGTCATTCAGGTACAAAGAACTAGTAAAGAGCAAAGATAAAACAGTACTTCTCCAACTTGTGGAAGAGTGCATTGGAAAAAAATAAATACATGAAATGGTGTCACAAACATTTTGCAGAGATAGAAGAGTAAAACTCACCGGTGTGTCGATAAGGTTCAAGAGGTATTTTTTTCCTTCAAAAGTGTAAAAAAGGGATGCAGTCTGAGCCTTCACTGTAATGCCTCTTTCTCTTTCCACCTGGAGCTTATCAAGAACCTGCTTATTGGAGGAGGCTGTTGGAATACACCCTGCCACAAAGGAAAATAACTTTTGTTCAAAAGGTTTAAGGTGATGAATTACAGCAGTGTTTCCTTAAAGCAGGGCTTGGCAACTCCATCCCTTCAGCTGTGCTTTGACAACAAATCCCATCATGCATCTGCCCCTGGGAGTCATGCCTATGGTTGTCAAAGTCTTGAATTGCCTCATGGGACTTGTAGTTCCACAACTGGAGGTCTAAAGTTGCCCACCCCTGCCTTAAAGGAGAGCAAAACCCAGAAGAAACACTGAAGATATTGCAGATTATCAGTCCTTACATGGGGTGGCTGCATTAGTTTTCATTTTTTAGGAGAACAATCTTTCATACCTGTTGATTTTGTCCCCTTAACCACTTCCAGTTCAGTTCACAGGACGGGACATCTGCCTTCTGTAAATTACTAACCTCCCTATCCCCCATGTGATAGAGATGAAGAGATGATGTTTAAAGTCCAGCCTGGGTGACAACCATGGCTCCCCCTATAGGTACAATGGAGAAGTGAGTGTAGCCACCCTAGCACAGGAAGTGTGTTATTTATAGTAAGACCAGGTAAAATAAAAGCCTGAAAAAAAGAAGAAAGGAAATAAATGCAGCCACCACATCTATACTGTAAGTACTGCAGAGCTGCAACGTCTAATGGTAGCCATACACTGGTAGATTTTTGCTTGAAAAATTAAAGTTTCTGCCACGAACCCTTGTTTGATTATAGCTCAAATACCCCATCAAGCATAGTCAAAGGTTGATTTTGGAAATCGTTCCTTAGCCATACTAACCAACCAAGTTTTGAAGAACGACAGAAATAATTTTCTTTTGCGCATGTGCTGTGTTCTTGCTAAGATTTTTGACGAACGAAAACCCCACTGATTCATCGATTTTCATTTGGTCTGTACTATTGGAGGCCCTCAGCCATAGTTATAAATGGGAGGTAGATGTAGCAAGAGGACTTTTTCCTGCAAAAACTGCATGGCAGGGTTGCACAGTGAAGAGGCACAGATGAACAGTAAGAGCTGGATGTCCCCAGGACATCTTTCTATAATAAGGCTGTGCAGTGACAAATTCAGGGTTTGCACTGTGACAAATTCAGGAGCAGCATGGAAGCTTAGTTTTTTCATATGCCAGTTACACTATGGGAGGGTTTTATTTAAAGGGTTGTCACAAAAAGTACAACTGAAGTCATTTTTTTTGTTTTGGATAGAGTGGACAGGGATTACACTGGTCAAATTTTTATTGCTGTCTATGTCCCTGACTATTGGAAGCCCTCAGCCATAGTTGGAAATGGGAGCTAGATGTGGAAAGATGACTTTTTCCTCGGAGATTCCCCCTCTCTATTTGTCCTGGTGACCTGGTATCAATGAAAGTGAAAGAAAACCCAAAATGTTGGTCATTAGAACAGGAATAGATGGGAAATCTTCCAATGGGGGCACTAGTTCTGGTGATCTGGATGACCACCAGGGATTTCCCTCACTGCAGGAATACCCCTCATGGCTATTGGGCGGAAATTGATGTCAAATACAACCCAATTGGACACAGAGGGCAAAAAAAACAAAAAGGACTAATAGACATTATACTTCTCCCTTATTCTATCCAAACCTAAAAAAAAAAGAAAAGAAAAAAAACTTGCAACTTTTCAACTTTTGAAAGAACCACTGGCCCAATAAGCTCAACATGACAACATATAAAGCTGACCCTACACATTAGCTCGGTACATGTAAGAACAAACAAAATAATGGTGCGACCACAGGGTATATAAGTGACAGTCGGATTGTCACCTAACATCTGATTGACACCTACAATTTGTGGTCAGCTTCCATCCAGTGTGACCATTCTGCACATTAGCGACCTTCCCTGAGCTTAAAGAAAAAATATTAGGCGTCATACCCGTTATTTCAAGTAGTCTGTCCGCAAGTGTACTTTTACCATGGTCCACGTGGGCTATTATGCTAAAATTCCTAATATATTCAATGCTATATTCGGACATATCAATTCTTTCCTGAAAGAGATGACAAAGAAATAGGAACAGGTTTTACATCACGATGTAACAAAAGGAACAGGAAAAAGGAATTGTTTTTAATGTTCACAGCCAGAGCCTGAAATGTATTGCAGGCCATTACGGCTTCTGAAAGATGAACTTTAAGCAAGAGAATGTAAGTAAGGGGCACCCCCCCCCCCCTGGGGCACCCCCCACACACACACACACACACATCTAAACTGGCACTGGCCATGAAGAATGTATGCGGCATGGACAATCATTAAAGGAGAAGTATTGGGAGAGTAAAATATACTGCAGCTGTCACACGCCAACTCTTTATACTCATTGGAAGGACAGACAGGGGAGGGGGTGGGCACATCTGGCTCTAGAGAGGCAGAGCAAGCTGTCCATCAGGCAGCCGGGTGGATCCCGACAATATTGCCGGGATCCCTAACACATGCAGTGCGGCTCTGCAGTGTTGCATATAGCAGGCAGTAGCCATCTATCTGCTGACTCGGGTCACAGCAGTACATTAGTAAATATACTTCTGTGACTCAAAAGAGAACTAATGCAAAACAAACAAAAAAAGGTTTGGCTTTACTTCTCTTTTAAAATGTGCTGTCTCTTTGTTCACCCATACATTTCCTGGAGAATAGCCTTTGTATATATCAATGCAATCATTTAGAGGTTGGATAAAAGGTTCATCAAGTAGATCTACAGCCAAAACATTTGATTTTTATCAAATTGTGGAGAGACTGGGAAAGAGTAAATGCCCTCTGTTAGGGTGCCCACACACCTTACGATAATCGTACGATAATCGCGGGAAATCCTGCGATCGTACGATTATAGTAAGGTGTGTGGAAGCCGTGCGACCTCTGCTACTGTAAGGTCGCATGACTTTTAACTTACGAACATGTTCGAAAACCCACCGAGCATCGTACGATGTTCGGCGGGTGTGTAGCATGTTCGTACGATAAAGACCATTCGGCATTGCGGTCATCGGAAGCCCGCCCCACAGGGGGGGCGCGGCTTGCGATCATCGCAAGTACGATCTGCCTGTCCAAGATAGGCAGATCGTATGTTTTTTTAAGTACCTTACAACCATCGCAAGACAAAAGTCTTGCGATGGTTGTAAGGTGTGTGCCCAGCATTAGGGTTTAATGGTTATTCCCATTGGAAATATAAATTCCCCCACTTCCTTTCCTGTAGATATACCAGGAAGTAAGGGGAAATCCCATTTTTGAGAGCTGTCACCAGAACAGATCTTCATACTGGGAGATTTCTTATCAAAAACATGTAAAACATGTATGTACTTTTTTTGTACTTTTATCAGTGTTAGTCTGAAAAAGTTGTTACTGTAAAAAAAAAGTTAATTAAGTAATTAAAGTAATTCTATGATGTGTCCTGTTTTAAATTACACTAAAATTTTGATTCTGGTACAAAGCATTGCATTTATTTACACATGAAATTAAGGCTTTTTCTTAAAAAAATGCCACACTATAAAAATAATTAACATGCAAAAGAATAAAAGCAAATTATATATATATATATATATGAATATATATAATATATATTTTATATTGAAATATATTCAACTTTTGTCTGAAATCGCTCCTGAATAATAACTGCACTTCCTTGTATGTGAAGGTACCTAGACAGTCCACTGCACAGAGCCTCATATCTGCAGTGTGAGACCTAAGGTTCTGCTGCCTCTGACTGCTGGACTCAGGAGATCTGGAGTGAGCTTGTGTGATGTCACTACTGTTCTCCTGGCTGGAGGCTCTGACATGAGGAAGCAAAGCCTTGCCTCTACCAAGATGGCCACCTCCACACAAAGACACAGTGCAGGACAAGGTATGGCAAGTCATTAACAGGGAAGGTGAAGATCAGCAGCAGGGAGACCACATGCAATACTGGTCACGTCGCTGGCAAGTTTGGTCCTTTGCCTCTTTTATTTTTTTTTTAGGAAGTTTCCATTGCTCCTTTCCTTGTGAAGCATACAGAAACCTCGGTGTCACAGGCAGGCTTCTGAGGTTGGAATAGGTGAAAAATTATGTGGGTCAGTATTTGGCATAAAAGTCAAACTGTCCACATACACAGACAGCAGTATGTAGCTCCTTATAATGCTTTGTGTTTTATGAAGGGTGTTCTCCTTCCAGAGAAAGACGCCACATATATGGCCTACAGGCACATCAATAGATAGAGCTGGCCACAAAATATCTATTTCAAAGATAGTGGCAACATTGTTTTAGAATTGTCATATTTCACTTGTAATCATTATTACCTTCTTAGTACTGAAGGGCACAGCCTGATTCAGATGTGTAGGTTGGACGTTTTGCATTACGCCGTGGCTCCCGCAGAGAATTGCTCCGAACCATTTCTGAGCAGACGAATGTGTGTACAACGTACGGATTTTGTACTTCCAGAGACGCAGACATTTTCCAGTGCAATGTGGGCTGAAAGCATACATCTCTCCGAATACCGCCGACTATCAGCTATGTAACATCCCGCAAATGCCTCGCTACATTGCAGCTTATAGGATTATGGCAGGTGATGTTCATGTCTTTTACATGCTTATTACAAAGCTATATCTGGAAAAGAAAGAAAGGTCCTTTTATTGGGTTAGAAGATCAGTAGTTGTCCAGGTTTACTAGTATGAATGGATGTATATGCAGCATATGAAATCAGTTACGAAAGCGCATGTCAAGCCCCCCTAAAAAAAAAACAATACATATTTAATATACCTCTTCAGGAGGTGCACATGTCCCCACATTTTATCCCTTTAAACATACTGCAAGTACAGAATGTGGCAGAAATATAATATGCTTACCTTGACGATACGTATTGTCAAGGTAAGCGATACGACAAGGTACGATACGACGACAATACGTTTTACATGACAATACGATTCTGAATGCCAAATACCTGGTGTCAGCCCTGCCAACATTATTTCTGATTGCTTACAAAGAACACAGCCCTCTCCTAATCTCCATAACCCCTATTTGTACATAGGCAGAGAGCACAGAAAGGTTATCAGCTCACAAGATTTCTTGCAAGAGATGCAAGATAAAACAAAACCAAAAGGGTGCAAACAACAGAAGTTTATAGTTCGGGTTTACATACACTTATAAAATAAATACGTAAATGACATGACAACCAACCAGCTTCTATGTTTTATTTTCAAAGATTAACTGAACAAACTGAAAAGAGAAGCTGATTGGTTGCCACGGGCCACCTGTTCGAGATTCTGTCTGCTCCAGTTTTTATTTATTCCTCTCATTATGTCCCTTCTGTAATAAAAAAAATCTTACTTGTCTTGTTGCAATGTGCGCGTTGCAAACAGGCAACACGATCGATTGTGCCGCAACAAGCGGTATCGCAATACCATGCATTGTGGTGGTGCGGTTGAAAAAAGTATGCATGCACAAGTTTTTTTTCACCGCAGCGCACTGTATGTGGCACGGTCGATGACATTGCAGACAGGAGATGCGTTTGGGGTACCATTCAAATAAATGGCAACACAACGCACCACCCGCACTGTTAACACACAGACCTGGTGTGAGCATGTAAAAGTAAAACAATGTAACAGACTGAGAGCACAATCTAGTTCCAGGTCACATACTTCCCCCATAGACCTGGCTTATATCACAGCTCATACAGCAGCGCTGAGTCTGTCAGATAGATAGATATAGAATATAAATGAAGAAATGATTGCTTGTTGTCACTATAGAGCCATGTGATCACATCTCACCTTCCTACAGATGTCCTATGCTCCCTGCACTCCACCATGTCAGCCTCTCCCAGCATGCACTGTGTCTCTTAAAGCGGCAATGTCACATCTAGATTTAAAAGGGCAATGATACTTTGTAGGCTTTAGCTTATCACCCTGCTCATATAAGGGGAATGTATTGCCAGAATGGATTCCTTTTTCTGAGTGTGTCAGTGCTGAGAGTAAAGTGAATATAGTGTTCAGGATATTGACTCTATTTCAGAAAGTGATAGGAAAAACAAACATGTTAGTTGTCAGCAGAGCAGGAAAAGTGGGGGAATTGTCCAATGGGGACACCTGTGGAACCTGGAGGTACCCAGAGCCTGCTGATTGGAGAGGAGTCCGTCTGGCTTCGCCTAGGTGGATTAAAGGAGAACTATGAGGTGAGTGCTTTTCACTCACATCAAAGTTCTAGCCGACCTGTGACAATGAGACAGGTCAGCTCAGTAGATTGGGAGGTGAGCGAACACATACCGGCGTTCGCTCACCTCTCGATCCTGTCACGGCTCTCTGCCATGACAGGGGAGGGGCTGGATTCCCCCCTCCCCGCACCGATCCTCCAGCGCTGACTGGCGGAACGGACGGGGAGGGGGCGGGTACAGCTGGCTCTGCCTCTAGATAGGCAGAGCCAGCTGTTAGTCACGCAGCTGGGCGGATCCCGGCACAATTGTCGGGATCCGCTTCAGCGTCTCAGTATACCGCGAGCAGCAGCTCACGGTATACTGAGCCTAGGGTGACGGGAGGAGGCTAGTTTGTGTTCTCCCGTTACCCTAAGGAGAACTATGGGGAAAAGCCTTAGCCCCATAGTTCTCCTTTAAAGTGTTTTGCCCCTGTCTGGAGCCTTGCACCCTGGAGAGGGAGTCAGGCAAGAGCCCTATATCATAAGCTGCCCATACACCTTGCGAATATCGTCCGATATTCGTATGCGATCGCGTTTTCGTCCGATATTTGTAAGGTTGATGGGCAGTGTACAATCGTACGACTTTTGACTAACCAGCAGGTTAGAAAACGTAGGTCGATCGTACGATTTTCGCAAGGTTGGTGGCGTTTCCCTACGTCAAAATTCGTATGATTTACACTGCTCATGCGCAGACGAAAATACGTGCGGGCGATTACCGCATTCATCCAGGTGCTTTCTTCTAATTACCGCTGATATTCGAGGCAGGATGGGGCCACTGTACGAAAATCGTACAACGGTTCGATCACCGGATGAAAAGCTTCATCCAATGATTGCAAGGTGTATGGGCAGCTTTAGACGCACCCTGTGCACCTTTTTGTTTGTGTTTACACGCACTTTTTCCACTAGGTTCACTAGAGCAGTGTTCCCCAACCCCCGGTCCGCACAGTCTGAGTGCGGTCCGGTCATGCAATATATGGCAGTGCACAGTCCCGAGTGAGTCTGAGCGGGGGAAGGGTGTCTTACATCATGTCATTAGACGTGGATTATAATGGGGAATATTACACTGTAATGTTCCCTATTATAATCTATTTCTCTGATTAAATGATTACAGGTAGGCATGTGATCTTTCAAAGTTTGAGACTACGTTAGAATGGGTGACCAGTGACGTGGTCACACATTTTAACGTAATCTCGCCCAGTTTTTCGGTGGTGGAATAGGTGAAGAATTCCAACGCTTTCATTTTTTGGTGTAACTATTTTATTTTGAAGGCATGTTTAAATACAATTAAATTATTAAATCAAAACAATCTAAAATATAAACAATCAACGTCCCCCCCTCAGCGGGCCACGGTAAAATGATCAAACGTTGACCGGTCCGCGGCGATAAAAACGTTGGGGAGCACTGCACTAGATGATTCATTTTTGCACACCCATCTATGGGCTTATAAAAGAAAAAAAAATGTCTGGGGGCATTTCTTCTCACTTCCTGTTGTGTCTACAGAACAGGAAGTGAAAGGGAATCTCTCAAATAAGACACGGGTTTTAACAAAAGAAAAAAAAAAAAAAGCTGTTCAGCTTTCACACTGAAGGAAATAAAACGGCGTGTGGAAGAATTTCCCGCTGGGACTATTGTATTCTAAAAGTTGACCCCGCTTGCTGTCAAAATACCTGGCAAGTGACTGCATTTGATGGGATGACGTTGCTGCTCAGCTCACAATTTTCCGCCTGACTCCTTCAATTTATCAATCAAAAGATGTCGGGCTGGAGCCAGCAGATGGGGCCAACCTCTTCAGCCAGTTCATTAGGAATCAGACAAAGTTTCCTCTGTGTATACACAGCTTAGGGCCCATTCACACCACATCCAGATCATCTCCAGACCAGAGTGTTTCCAGACCCAAAATGCATCCTAATGTACCCCTCTGCTATTTATGGCCTCTGTTCACACCAGCGCAGTCCGTTCCAGACCAGACAAATACTCTAATTTTGTCTGGAATGCATGGGAATTGCAGGCAGGTTCACACCATTCTCTGGTCCAGATCGGATACATGGACATGTGTATAATGTGCTGCATTCAGATCTTTAAATTAACAAAATAAATCTGCATCCAAGTACAGCAACGTTATCAGCATATGTAAAATTGGGCTATTGTCCCCAGCACCAATGATACTACGTGTGAAGTGTAACCCGGTTTTTTTTCTTCCCAGACTCTGCTGCCATAAGTCCCCTGTATATGGATTATTATACAGGATTTATATAGCGCCAACAGTTTGCACAGCACTTTTTCAATATAAGGAAGACATTACAATCCCAATACAAATCAAGACAAGATGTAAGAAGGGCCCTGCCATCTAAAAGGATGGGCAAGTGATATGAGGTAGCTATGTGGGGAGGAGTTGTTTGAGAACGTGATGGTTCAGCAGTTAGGTTGAGGTGGGATAATAAAATGACTGCTCATGGGGGGGGGTACCATTCTGGGGGTCTTCTCCATACCACTTCTGCTTCATATTGCTGGAATCTCATCAGAACTGTTGCACTTCTGATGACATGCCCATGTCTGTACCTTCTGATTGGCAGTTCTCCCAGCCATGTGAGGAAAGGCACTGGCAGGTTCTGGGTGTTCTGAAGAGTGCCTAGACTTCTAGACAGAAGGCATTTACAATGCAGATGAAACTCTAGTGTTGGGAAGAGGCAATCACTTGCTTCCTAGGAAGATCCTGCACCTTTGGCCTGTATTGCCCATGCTCCCTGGTTACATGCCATCAGTAGGCCCCCATACTTGTGTTTAGGAAAATTGTATACTTTCCTATCCAGATACCAATACATAGCAGCACAAATGTCCCTTCCCGTTACTTTAGATTGTTCAAATAGCAGCTATTAAGAATGCAATTATGGAGAGGCATCCATTCATTCATAGTTATCAGTCCAGTTAGGGGGTGGAATTACCCATTAGTATGCTGCCACCTATATCAGCAAAGTAAAATAACCAATTGACAAGTACAGTCTTCAGTTATTGACACATACTTGTAATAGATCTTCCATCAGACCCCAAGCACAGGCACTGTAAGAGGGGACAGATAGAATGGCATGGATCACTTTAAAACCCACTTATTTTTCCCATTTATAGTTCTGCACCCCAGTCTATTAGGATGTAGCAGCCATACCCCTCATCACCAGTATCAGACTTGTACTGCAGATGAGACATGTCAGATCAGTTTTGGTACCAAGTGCACTAGGTCAGACTCTAGCTTAAACAGGATTGTGCAGTTCGATGACACCATGCCCAACTATACAGAAGAGTGGATGATTTTAGCACCACCGCTAGCTGCAAAGCTACTTCTACAATGTTAATTGGGGCTTCAACCCTTCATGCCCTATAGTATTTTTGTAAGGGTACGGTCTTTGCATTATATT